TTATCTCATACGTTAAATGTTAAAACAAATAAATCCAGTATAATAGTCTACGTGTAAAACTTGTAACTCCGTATTAGGAAAGAAAAGCTGATAGTCTGCATTTTTTTTTTTTTTTTGGGAAGCGGGGGCGGTACTGACGTAAAAACAGACACATAGACCAGTGGAACAGAGTAGATAGTCTGCATTTTTAATAAACTACTATGAGGTGAAGGTTCTCATATTTGAACCTCATACAATGTTTTATTTTCTGCTTGGTTGCTGACCTCAGTACTTGAAAAAAGTGGGTTCCTAAGAGGCCACTGTCATCAAATCAAGCTTTGCATAGGAAGAAATCTCACAGAGAGAACAAACTACTCTGCCACAACAGCCTCAGTCCATAATACTGGCTAAGTGGCTAATACATGCCCGCCGTGTTAAGAAGAAGAACAAGGGCGTCGTTTAACATTTATTCAACACTTACTATGTGCCTACAGGTTTCTCCCTCACTGCTTCATCTGACTCCCTGAATCATCTGGTGTTTTTTTTTTTTTAATACTATTTTATACATAGACAAGAACAAATCAATTTTAGCAAACACAGATTTCGGTTGATGGTTCTAGATTTAGGAGATTTCATACCTAATTAATTTCATTATTTGTTTTAGATTAGCAGTGCTGGGGGAATCCTGATTAACATGGATAAAAATGTAATGGGCTGCCTTGTACAATTTTACAGCTTAGATATTTGCAGTCAGACTGCAGAACACGGTGTTTGTGAGCAGACGCCAGGGCAGAGTTACACTCCTCCTATACAGTGATGGTGTGTTTTTCCAGAATCGGCAGGACAAGCATCCTTTAGATATCCGCACAAAGACGTATTAACTGGATAACCCACGTGCTGATGACCTTTGACATAGTAAAATATATGTAGGATCAATCCCATTGTTATCTGTTAGCTGGTCACTGGTGTAAAACACTGCATGTGTATAAGGTTGGCCCAAACCTCTGTGGCCCTGTGTGACCTCTGAGTAACACCATAAGGCTCTGTGGAAGTCTGGGAAGCGCAGCTCTGATCTGGTTACTCCTCTAAGGCCGCGCGCTCCAGCTTACGACGGTCTGGCATACCGTCTGCAGTGGGAGAGATGCAATGCCACAGTTGGAGGCTGACTTTCTGCTGTATCCTTTAGGGTGCCAGGGTCCTGTCACCTGGACTCCCCACAGGACCAAAGATCCTCCTGGCAATAACGAGCTACAAGAAGTCAGCAACTAGCGCTTTTGAAAAACATCCCCATCTTTACACCCTAATATTTGAGTGTGTCTTTGCTAAAGCCTCACACAATTGGTGGTAAGAAGTTATTTGAACTGATGACTCGTGGTGTGAATAAAACCCTTAGTCCTGGAACTCAAGGCTGGAAACGACTCACACAACGGGCGGGTTTCCTCTGTGGTGTCATTACTCGACCAACGGTTCCGCGTTGTCGGTGTTCCACGGGAACAGTGAGATTGCGATATGAGTTACTACTGTATGCGGGGAGGCCACCTTCCCAACTACACTGAAAGTTCTTTATCAGCCTTATTGTTACCATCATTCCAACTTTGATAACATATAATTTAGATACTGAAACTTTTTAACAGGCTACCCACTCATGAATTTGAGAAGTTTGATCATCAGTGTTCCCCTATCAAATGTGAGATGAAGTTACTAGTCTTGACCTCAAATTCAAGTTGTGACTAATATTCAGTACTGAAAATAAAAGGGAAACCACTTAAAATTAAATAGTAAAACATACAGTGATTATCAAATTATATTAATCTGAAGCAATAAATGAATAATTTGTTCTGCTTCTTTATAGGTAGCTCACAGGACTAAAAGCAAATGGTATTTTGGAGACTCTGTTTACTATTTTATGTTTGGACCAGCAGTTTAATAAGTTTGTAGATAATACATCTCTTTCTATGGATAGTGAACAGAAGTAGGCAAATTCCTGCTAAAGGTTTTTATTTCTTATTAACAGATGTCAGGTAACACACTGAGTAAGAACCATTCGGTGAGATATCAATCCTCCCATCTGACCTGATTGTTAATTTGATCCGACGGTTCTGCAGCCCCTAGGCTACCTAATGGAACAATAAGAAAAGTAATGGAGTAATGAGTGTGTACGGTAAATATCTTAAGCAGGAGAAAAGCATATTGAACAAAAGCCAGTAAGTCCATATTCCTTAAAAGGAAAAAATATGCATATCTGAATTAAATACGCAGAGAACACACTGGAGTACTTATTTTGCCTCTGCGCCCAGTGGCAAAATTTCTCAAGTGAGGATCTTCTTTTTTATTATAATTTTTTTTATTGACATATAATGTATTATTTGCCCCAGGGGTACAGGTCTGTGAATCATCAGGCTTACACACTCCACAGCTCTCACCATAGCACATACCCTCCCCAATGTCCATAACCCAACCACCCTCTCCACACCCGCTTCCCCCCAGCAGCCCTCAGTTTGTTTCATGGGATTAAGAGTCTCTTATGGTTTGTCTCCCTCCCGATCCCATCTTGTTTCATTTTTTTCCCTCCCTATCGCCCAACCGCACCCCCCCCGCCGCCCTGCCTCTCAAATTCCTCATATCAGAGAGATCATACGATAATTTTCTTTCTCTGATTGACTTATTTCACTCAGCATAATACCCTCTAGTTTCAAGTGAGGATCTCCTTAAAAGTTTGAAATATACCACAACTTCTTTACCCATTCATCGGTTGATGGGCCCTTGGGCCCTTTCCATAATTTGGCTATTGTTGATAATGCTGCTATAAACATCGGGGCGCATGTATCCCTTGGAGTTACTATTTTTGTATCCTTTGGGCGAATACCTAGTAGTGCAGTTGCTGGGTCTCAGGGTAGTTCTATGTTGAACTTTTTGAGGACCCTCCATACTGTTTTCCAGAGTGGCTGCACCAGTTTGCATTCCCACCAACAGTGTAGGAGGGCTCCCCTTTTTCCACATCCTTGCCAACGCCTGTTGTTTCCTGTGTTGTTAATTTTGGCCATTCTGACTGATGTCGCCAGTCATTGTAGTTTTGATTTGTATTTCCCTGATGATGAGTGATGCTGAGCATCTTTTCACGTGTCTATCGGACACCTGTATGTCTTCCTTAGAAAAATGTCTATTCATGTCCCCTGCCCATTTTTAATTGGATTATTTGTTTTTTGGATGTTGAGTTTTATACACACACACACACACACACAGAGAGAGAGAGAGAGAGAGAGAGAGAGAGGAATATTATTCAGCCATAAAAAAAGAATGAAATCTTTCCATTTGCAACAACATGGATGGAGCTAGAGAGTATCATGCTAAGTGAAATAAGTCAGTCAAAGAAAGACAAATACCATATGATTTCACTCATAAGTGGAATTTAAGAAGCAAATGAACACGGACGGGATGGGGAAGAGAGGAAAGCCAAGAAACAAGACTTTCAACTGTAGAGAACAAACTGATGGTTACCAGAGGGGAGGTGGGTGGGGAGAAATGGGTTGAATAGGTGATGGGCATTAAGGAGGGCTCCTGTCGGTGATGAGCCCCGGGGGCTGTATGGAGGTGTTGAATCACTAAATTCTACACCTGAAACTAGTATTACACTGTATGTTAACTAACTGGAATTCAAATAAAAGTTTGAGGAAAAAAAAACTTTGAAGTCGTACTTAAGACTTAATGTTTTGGCTTAAGGGGAAAATCCTTCACAACAACAACAAAATAAAAAAACAAAAACGCAGTATTTAAGGAGTAAACTGTCCCTTGATGTCAAATATTCACTCATGGTGGAGGACTCACTTCTTCCTACGGAAGAAAAGTAAGTTAGAAGTTAGAAAAAGAGAGTTTGGTTTGGAAAAGAGAGAGAGAGAGGGAGAGAGAATATGAGAATGTTTGAGCTTACTTTTAAAACAGGGAAAACCATAAAACAAATAGAAGAGTGGGCTCTAGTGGCCATAATTAAAATATTAAACCCACAGAAAAACAGGAGAAAGACAGTCCTCTCCTCCAAACGGGAGTATTTTCGTTGTTGTTGTTCTGAATGGTTCATGAAAGGAATTTCAGTAATTTAGAATACATTTAACTGATTTATTGCAAACTAATTCACAAACAACTTCGTGCTTATGAAGTTGAATTTCATTTCCAATTGAAAATTGGAAATTTCAATTTCCAACTGAAAATTTCATATAGTTATGCATGTAAAAAGTGCACCAGAAAAGACAAGGTGTGAGAATTAATTTTTCACGTTTTTAGATGAGCATACAATCAACCTTCCACATACTCACTGGATATTAAACTTGCAAAACCAAACTTTCTAGGTAATTAACCTCTAAAGATAGGCACAAAATATTTAAACCATAGGTAACTAAGCACATGTATATGTTGATAAAATACTTTTTAATCCATGCTAAGGGCAGGTGTCATTTAATAGTGGACCGAAATCAATTAAATGACATTTTAATTTTTTGTTGTTGTTGTTGGAAATGGCATATTCACAACTTCATGTCTCACAAGTCGATATTTACATATCTTATTCAGTTGTCTTAATGACTTTTAGCAGTTTCATTTATTCTGGGGCACAAACTTAAGTTGCTTTTAATATATTTTGTAATTTTGTGGAGTAGACTGTATTTCAAATCTTATCTTCATTGGAATTGGTTCTGTAACTTTACGAGTATATGCAGAAGGGTGTATTCTTTCATTATTATTATTTTTTCTTTCAGGAAGAGCAATGTAACCTTCTATAATTGTACTTTCTATCTTTGGGGACTGACACAGATTTGCTGAAGCATACTTCAATGTAAATCATCTTTATTGCTGAAATTTAATTGACAGTGTTAGGGAGAAAAGGTCGCCATTGCTACCAAAGTTCTGAACGTTTCCTGCATATAACTTTGGGATTGTTGCTACTCACATAACTGTTTGGGCCCACAGAAAGAGGGGCTGGCACTTAAACAAGCCAACAAGTAACAAGATGTAATCATTTCAGCTGGAATTGTTAAACCACAATTATCATGTTACTTAGTTCAAGTCCTTTCTTCAAATGTCATCAAAATAACAGAGACTGAAGAGACTTTTGAACAGTTGCCACCTCTTGTTGCTGCTATTAAATGAAAGGAGAGAATATACTCGTTTAGTATTTATGTAAGGATTGTACATATAACAGCAAATAGACTACTTCAACGTTTAAATCAATCCTTAGTTTTCACCTTTAAATATTACACTACTTACATGTGCCATCATAAGGTGGTTTTGCAACATGACCATTTCCTTCCCAAGTTCGCTCTGTTCACCAATAAGAAAATTTTCCTGATTCTTCTCTAAGTCTTCTTTACTCTAAAACAAAAAGCCTAGTCCAGTTACAAACCACCATTTTTCTTATTATGTTCAAAACATGCAAAACTAAATTTCAAAAGTACTACATTTTTTTAATATTCCAGTGATGTCCATTATCTTACTTGAAATAAAATTCTAAATCACACAGGTAGACCAAAACATTCACTAAGAAAAATTTAAAGTATCAGATTCGAGTGAATAATAAGAATAATAATGATTATCATCATCAGTATTATTATTAAATTATTATTATTTTAAGTGGGCTCCAACAGGGGGTTTGAACTCACAACCCTGAGCTGAGCTCAAGGGTTGGGTGCTTAACTGACTGAGCCACCCAGATGCCCCAAAATACTCTTATTTTAGGAGACACAACTACAGTACGCTTTGCTCAGAACAATGGGTTAATGTCAAGCAGCTAAGGTCAAGCTCAAGATAGACTCCAAAACAGAAAAGGAGTGGGAGTCCCTATCAACAATCGCTGTAATTTCGAAATCCAGTAATGAGCTTTCTAACGTCAGGTAATGACACGTTTATTATCAGTAATAGTCAACGTAACATGATTTCCTTCGAGGGAATAAAATGACCTGTGGTGTGTCCTCTACAACTTATGAAAGACACAACCCACTTTTTATATTTTGCTATTCATTCAACAAGTGCTGAAATAGTGCGTACCATGTTGAAAGTACCGTGTTGAGTGCTGTGGAGGAATTTAAAAATGAATACACAATCTCTCCCATATTCCAGGGCCAAGAGCAAACATAAACAGAAATGATACAAAAATTTTACGAGAGTTATAGAAGCACAACTTGTTGCGGCTGCACAGCAGAAAAAGGAGATTAATGCCGACCTGGTTGGCAAAAGAATAAGATTTCAATAGGTGAAGAAAGAGAAGTTAAAAACACTTCCAGGGGAAGGACATAAACGGAGCGTAGAAGTAATAGTTTAGATGAAGCAGTTATCAGGAAGGGTGGGAATAAAGACAGAATGTAGCAAATAAAACTAAAAAGGACATCATGTCATGGTGAATCTTTGAATATCTAAGAGTTTACAAGGGGAACCTACTCACAGGCTTTCAAGAGGGGAGAACTACCTCGTAGGAAGATAATACCCACAGACCTAGGAAAGATGGAGAGATCAGATGAGAGTTTAATAGTAGAAGCAAGGGACAGTGAGGTCCTCAGCTAGGGCTGCAGCAGTGGGAGTTCGAAGAAAGAATTTAAAGTACCATTGCAGAGGTTAAGTACCACACAGCCCAACAGTAACTGGAGGGGGAGGATAAGGAACCACAGGAGTCAAGGAAAATGGTAAATTTCCAACCCTAAGTGGTTACACTGGGCAATAACATTGAGAAGAAATAACTTCTGTTACTTTACAAAACCTCCATGCCACCCAATAAATGGTCTTCACAGAGCATTAGAACAACACACTCTCTGCTTGGAAACGATTTTAATATTGCTATTTAGTATATGTTTAATCCTAAGATTCTTTAAAGAATACTTATTTTGAAATTATATCACTAGTTCTTAAACATTCCAGTTAGTTTAGAAGAGTGACATTTCACCACGTATTTGAACAAGATTCTTTGAAGAACAAATTACATGATCATCTCAAAAGCCGCAGAAAAAGTATTTGACAAAATTCAACGCTCTTTCACGATAAAAACTCTCAACAAACTAGGTACAGGAGGAATGTATCTCACCATAATAAAGCCCACAGCTTTATGACAAGCCCACAGCTAACGTACTCAGTGGTGAAAAACCGAAAGATTTTCCTCTACGATCAGGAGTAAGAAGAGGTTGCCCAACCTCACTACTCCTACTCAACATAGTACCAGAGGGCCTAGCTGGAGCATTTTGGCGGTAAAAGGAAACAGAAGGCTTCCAACCTGGAACGGAAGAAGCGAACTTATCTTTGCTCGCAGGTAGCATGATCTTATATGTAGGAAACCGCAAGGGTTCCACACATGCAAAAATCCCTGTTAGAACTAATAAATGAATTCAGCAAAGCTGCAAGTTATCAAACCAACACGCAAATGTCAGCTGTATTTCTACACACTAACAATGAGTTCTCCAGAAGTGAAATTAAGAAAACAATCCCATTTACAATGGCGTCAAAAAGAGTAAGATACTTAAGGAAAAACGCTTTACCAAGGAGGTGATAGACTCGTCAGCGTCGGCTGAAAACTACAAAGCACTGATGAAAGAAATTAAAGACAACACACATAAGTGGAATGATTATCCCATGCTCACGGACAGGAAGACTTAATATTGTTCAAATGCCCATACCACACAAAGCAACGTACGGATTCAGTGTTATCCCCACCAAAACCCCAGTGCTATTTTTCTACAGAAATGCTTCTACAAAGCAACCCTACAATTCACGTGGATCCACAAAAGACCGTGAATAGCCAAAGCGATTCCAAGAAAGAACAACAACAACAAGCTGGAGCCATCACACCTCCTGATGTGAAAAATATATTATAAAGCTACAGTAACAAGAACAGCTTGGTACTAGCATAAAGATAGATGTATAGACCAATGGAACAGAACAGTGAGCCCAGAAATAAACTCTCACATATACAGTCAGCTGATTTTTGACGTGGGGGCCAAGGATACAAAATGAGGAAAAGATAGTGTCTTCAACGAATGAAGCTGGGAAAACTTTATATCCACATGCAAAAGAATAAAAGAGGGTAGGTGGGCCGTCTCGCGTTAGGTATCCTTAGGACATTAGAAACGACGACGACGACAAGGGCACCCTGACCAAAAACAGAAGGGGAATGGACAGGATTCCATCCACTCCCAAATGAGTGTACAGCTGTGTGAAGAAGAGGTCCATGTCACTGAGGAGGATTCGCTAGTGTGGAAATACGACTGAAGGTAATCTCAATTCACAAGCTGATAGCCTTACTCAGGCTTTTTTCACTCTCATTTTCATTCTTTCATTCTCTGTGCTGTCTCTTGCAATTACAAGTTGGCATATAAAGCCACTCTTAGTCACTTTGATAACTCTGGAAGCAAATATGCCACGAAATACTTAACAAAATGCAACTGAAAATAAAATTGGCTACTTGCTGTTTAAGAAACATCGGCAGCACAAAGGAAAGTAAATGACATCGAGAAGTGATTTAAAGTCTTCCTACTTTCAAGCTACAGAGTCATCACTACTCTCCTAAGAAAGACTGACTCTGGAAAAAATAACCATGATTAAGTTGTTAATAAAGGATCGGTTTCATGCACGATATGCATATTTCTTGGCAAAATTCCCAATCTAGCATTCCCTGTCTTGAGTAACACCCACAAAACCATTAATGAATCTGAAAAGTAAAAGTACATTTAGCATTTATGTTAAATCAGAACAATGAATTCAAAATGGAAAATGCCTAATTAATTTTAATTGATTTCAAAGGCATAACCAAAATGTTTTTGACATGTATTAAGAAAGAAAAACAATTATTTTCTACTTCCATATATATATATATATATATATAAATAACAGTTTATGAGAAGACATTGTGTTACGAAATTCAGCAGACCTTTAAGAATTGCTCATACAGCTCTTTAATTCCTTGCATTCTCTGGCTCTGAACAATTCTAGAGCGCTGCAAAACCTTTTGTTGCTGTCGAAATATATTCTACAAATATAAAAGAAAAAACAAAGTGGTGATGACCATTTTGGTGAAATTTAAAATCTCACAACAAAAAAAATCTAGATTCAACTGGAGTAGTTTTTAAATAAATATTTTTTGAGTATCTTCTCTTTTATCAAATATTATGACCGAGTTTACATCATTTGTGTTTACCGGTAACATAGAAAAACACCACAATAGTCTTATCTGCTGGTCGCTAAGTAGGAAATTTCCTTTCTTAGCAATATTCAAATCATATATCTTATTCTTGTTGATTTTGAAATCCACACGCATGATCCCTCCAATAACCCTTCCATGATCTTCCTATTCCTCCACCAGTGAACTTGTTATATCCCTACTTAGCCACTCACTTTCAGAGTCATACCTTAGATTTTTGTCAGCCCGATAACTGAAACACCTACATGATGTTATGAATGGCAAAGACTTACAGAGGAACTATGTACAGAAACCGGTCTGAACCATTTCAAATAAGCTTATTATAGAGGAGCTTACTTAAATCCTAAAAACAGACAAACAAACAAAAAACAAAACAAACAAACAAAAAACCTGTAAGTACTCTTATTATACTCCCTTTTCGTAGATGAGGAAACTGAGGTTCAGAGGAAAGCAGTTTGTCCCTGGTTTCACAGCTAGCATTTAGAAAAATCAGAACTGGATCCCAAACATCACTGTCCCAGTGTCCAGGCTCTTGACCACTGGACTACGCTCTTTGCCCATTTTCCACAACATTCCACCTCTACCTCCCTGTGTTTGTGGCTCACTCTCCCTTTCCTACTACAGCTCAGTGCCCTAGCAGGATCCGACATCCATTGAATGAACACCTTTCACCGTCCCCTGTCTCCACCCTGTGTCCTCATTTTCCCCCTTTCCAGATCAATCTATGGTCGACGGTCATACCTACACCCTTGCTTATATACCTTGCCCCCTTCTCACTCTGTTGAGGTGCACGGCTAACCTCAGCCCAACCCTGGAAAATCCAGCTCTCCAGCTGCTCAGACGCAACCACAACCATGAGTACTAGTCTCATGTAAATTTATGATTGCTATGACACCCAACCCACCCTGGACCAGAACGTTGCTTGGCGATGGTACTTCCCTTCCCTTGTCCAGTCACTGGCCCACTCTCAGGGAACAATTCCAGGACTTCTCCTTTGCCCTCAAAAAGCAACATCTCCTCCACCATCCTTACTCCTAAATGTGATACAGGCCAGTCCATTAAGAGGGACCCGTGCCCTGAGCTCAATGACCCGTTCAGGAACGAGCAAACGATTGAAACTGGATTACCGATGGCAGTCCGGGGGACTTTTCGGCCAGACCTATGGAGAAAGGCTATCTCGGTACACTGGGGTTACTAACCTGGTGGCGAATCTAGGATTGTAAGATGCTGTCATGCTTGACCCCATGGAGAGGGCCTATTAGGAGACGGAGACAGAGCCCCAGACAGCACTGCCCAAGCAACCTTTACCCAGACTCATCCAGCGATACCTGGTGCAAAACTCTCTTTGACGTCTTCAGATAAACCAAGGGCATCCCTCTTTTGTACTTTGGCAAATGTCTGTCACTCGGAACTGCAGGAACCCCAACCAAGAGAGGAAGTAAAGACCAAGGGCTATTGTGAGTAGGATGTGCGCCTATACTTCTCTGATTTCTCTGAGATCGGGGCCCAGCCACATAGCCAGCAATGGAAACAGGACTCTGGCTCAAATCTACAGGTCTAAAGATGTGGCTCGGCCCACCACTCCGACTCGAGACTTGGTTACTATAGATTAATTATAAAGCTAAGCCCGATACCAACAGCTAGTTTTTCTTCTTCCTCCTTGGTTTTCTGCGCATCTGTATCCCACTCTTGAAACAAAGTTAGAAACTGCTGACAGTATTCGTGATAAAGCTTCTGCCTGTAAAACACAGTTATGAGTAAGTGTCATACTTTGTATCGTTAAGAAAAAAGTAAACCCACTCAAAACCAAAGTGGCTGGACATAAATTATACTATAAAGGGAGAAGGGGGCGATCACAGCTGACATTTTCTGATGGAAAAAAGCAAAATAAAGCGGATGGCTTACTCCCATTGCTAACCCTCACTCACTCCTAACTGTCTAAGAGGGATGCTATCCCGTATGCCTTAGCTCTTGAAAACCAAGGAAGACTTATTGCATTATAAATTTCCCCCAAAACTGCATTTTATCTACAAGGGGTTTTGTTTTTACTTTTACTTTTTTCATGTTCATTCACCTGCTGAATAACATATAGGCCGTGGAATGATAAATAGATTCAATGAGGGTGTCATAGTCACTTATGTAATACAAGTTTCCCAAACAGTAACATTTCACTTTCTCCCCCACTGTGGCACAATAAAGATTTTGTACAAAGGAACAGTGAACTCAATAGGGATACATTTAAAAATTATTCAAATATAAGATTGATCTTTTCTACATAATCGAATACAGCTAACTCTCACAAGACATTTGTTTCTTATTCAGCTTGCACACTCCAAGAATGAATGCAATGTTTTCTTACGCTAAGAAAGCCCCACTATAATTTGAAAGGAGTAAAATAGGGGTTATCTTTATTGACCTCTAGATAATACATCTCTTTTCAGTTATGGTGTGAACTTATAGGACTAAAGGAACTATTTGCTTAGATAAAAATCAAGCCAGACGTATTTTTCAACAGAGACTCCAACAGATAGAGGATAACAGTATTATACTGAATTAATTGGTCATCACAAATACTAAGAAATGACACACAGCTTCTGGTTCCAAAACCCAACAACGTTACCTTTGCTCTTCCTGGGTTTTCCAAACACGCTCAATTTTCTGGTTAATGCTTTTGACGGAAGCTCTGGTATCCATCATGCATCTTTTTCTCTTTGCATAAAAAATCCTTTTAGTGTCACCTATATTAAGCATACGTAATTATTAACATTTAATGCTGAAAGCTATTCTTTGCAGTTTATTCAAGACAACACAGGCAATATTGGTTCAGCAGCATTGGAAAGACAATTAGTGGTCTTTTTTTAAAGGCCTCACATCAGAAATCAAGATTATTCATCTTCAAGATGAATTCATCGTTATTCAAGATTTTTTTTTCCCTGTGAAATCTTTCAGTTACTAGTATCTGAATTCCAAGTCATTTATTTATTTTTTTGCCTGCACACACCCTTGATTTAACTTATCCTGGAGAAAGAGCTAATAAACAAAAGTTACTATCTTCCAAAATGTGTAAAAAAAAAAAAAATGGGGGGGGGTGGTTCCTCGATGACAGTCTTTAATTTTCTCTTGAAAAGACAGTTGTAGAGGCTAGTCTTTAATAAATGTATAAAATATCCTTCAAATGAAAGGACTCACTGAGATGGATTCTCATTAGAATTCAATATATAAAACACACTTTATCATTCTATTTTAAAAGTGTCCAAAAGGGATACAAATAAATAATGAAAAAAGGG